AAAATCTAGGCTTGTTATTCTCTTGCATTGATAATTAATATTGTATTGGAAGTCTAGAAACTGGATTCTGCAGTGAGAGTAAAATCCCTTAATATTTTCTGTCAATTAATCAAACAGAATAGTACTTTTGTGAGGGATGTTACTTATGTAATATACTTAACTTGTACAGCAAAAAAAAAGATGAAATTAACACGTTGTGACATCCCCAATACAATCCTATCATCGTAAAAGCTATAAAACAGTGAGTGGGTGAGTGAGTTGGGTTTAACGACGCTTTTAACAGTATTTCAGTTATATCGCGGCGTGTCAGCTTAATGTGGGAGGAAAGCCCGAAGTGATGCAGGTGTCAGACGTTTAACCACTTCGGTGAAACCCACGAGCACGGGTATGGTGCTGACACACATAGAAACCTTTTTTGGGCGAACCGGGATTCGAACCCACAATCATAGGTTTCTGGTGTGTCCAAGGGACGCAACTCTGCACAGCGAATCGCGGCGCCTTAGACGACTGGGCCACCCGTGCTGCCTATAAAACAGTGAGGTTTATGAAACATACATCACATACGTCAAACATTGAACGGGAAGAGTTTCTTACATCCCAGGCTGTCGGTCAGCAGGTGTTTCACAAGGTCTGTCTCTACTGGAAGACATCACGTGTGCACACATGGCATATAATATGGATGGTATATTTTTTGTTTCCCAAATTTTGGGATCAACGTTATGCAGCCCATTGTATGCTCAACGGTGTCGTGTATCCGGTTGTGTTTGCTCTATTAACAGTGTGTGAGTGAGTGAGTATGGTTTTACGCCACTTTTCGCAATATTCCAGCAATATCGTGGCGGGGGACACCAGAAATGGGCTTCACACATTGTTCCCATGTCGGGAATCGAATCCGGGTCTTCAGCATGACGAGCGAACGCTTTAACCACTAGGCTACCCAACCGCCCCTCTCTATTAACAGACAGAGCTAGAGAAACTAACGTGCAAATGTTCACCTTCCTGAACAACGTCACATACAGTTGGGGCAGAGCCTGCACCTCGGGTCATCCAGACGGAGTGAGAAGTTGCAGCTATCAGATCAGTGCACACAGTGTATCCAGACACTGACATCGATGGCGGCTGCTTCCACTCCACACACGCCGTCTGCCGGAATGTGGCAAGGTCAAATTTTGGTAAACTATTTTGTAAGGTAGACCTATCAAGGAACTGAAATGCGTTAATAAACCTTTTCCGTCAATTTTGTTGAACCTTCATAAAATATAAACCTTTAATTACCGGACTACTAAGGCTAAACACCATGTCCAAGCAACCCTATATAGCTACCACTGGATAAAGTCCAAGACACCTGTTTACTGGTATTGGAGAGAGTCTAGCTTACTAATGCTTTGAATGTTGCAACTTTCGTCTAACAACTTTTGAGAAAGCGTCGTATGACGATTTCTTTAATCTTAATGGAAAAAGCATGCCCTGCTATACCTAAACGTTATGAAATGCAGACACCAAAGGCTGAAGCTGGTGGAATATTGCTAGAAGTAAAGGTAAAGTTGACTTATGTAAAATGGATAATGAATTCAAAACGCCACAGAATACTCAGTCTCGATAACCTGCCGAAACAGATTCCTTAGGGCGTATAAGGTCAAATGTGATGAAACTTATATGACGGGATGAGTGTAAATCAGTGATACCACGGCCCGTGAAGACCCAGGTTAGAATAGGTCTTCAGCAACCCATGCTTGCCGTAAAAGGCGATTTTGCTTGTGGTAAGAGGCGACTAACGGGATCGGGTGGTCAGGCTCGCTGACTTGGTTGATGCATGTCATCGATCCCAATAGCGTGGATCGATGCTCATGATATTAATCACTAGATTGCCTGGTCCAGACTGGATTATTTACAGACCGCCGTCATATAGCTGTAATATTGCTGAGTGCGGCGTAAAACAACAAACAAACCAAAACTCGAAACTTTCAATTTCAAAACAGTAGCCATATCTCAGCACTCTGCTTATGATATATGTATATTGTTTAAGGTCATAGGTTAGCTAAGTAATCTTGTTAGTGAAAAGACAATAACAACATACTGCCAAAAAATTACAACTGACATAGTTAACGGAGAATGTTTAAAGAGTAATAGAGCATTTTTGCGGTAGCAATGCTATGTAACTGTTCGGAATGTATGCCCCTCCTACCGGCTCTGCGTTGCAGCTGATATGACGACAGCCATGGAGAAAGTTGACCAGTGGCTGACAGCATGCTGACCATTACTGTGAGGTCATCATCTGCGGGGACCTGAACGCTAGTGTAGGTGGGGGTACTAACCCAGCAGAGACACGTGACCAGCCAGGCTTTGTTACCATAGCTTTCCCCGAGGAACAGTCAGCTCTTAGAAATCTTGGACAGTCACACGTTAATGTTGTTAAAGCCTTCGGACGAAATTCGAGTTACGTTTTACTCATAATTTGTACATATTTAATGCAAGACCAGGTGGTGTAATGGAAGGGAGGTATACCTATATATCTCAGCAAGGGTGCAGTGTGGTCGAATAATTTATTGGTTTTGTTCACGTATATACAATTTCATGTGGACTGTTAGGTCGATTCCAAACATATGCCATTGACTCTGTTTTTTAAATTTCACTCTGACCATAATTCCAAACAAAATAGAAAGTAATATCACTGTTGGTTCAGAAATGTTGTAAATACTATTCTCAATGTAGCTGAATGTATGCAGACATCTGTTGTTCATAGAAAAACAAGCCACAAAATGGGTTCTATAATTTGAACTGTGTACATCGGAGAATATACCGCCCCCCAAAAAGTCAAATGAAAGTAAACGAATTTATTGTCACATTAGATATAATACAAACATATGTGCAAAGTATCAAAATACGGTGGTCAGCATATAAAACGAACAAAACCTAAATCATGTATTAAAGACTCATCTATGTTTTGGAATGAATTTTGAAGTTTGTCAAGCCTGTGCGACCAGGGTAATGAAACTGATTAAAACGGTTGTTTTGATCATTTTAAGAAAGTGTTTAATAACTGTGATGAAATGTGTGAGAATAGCAATACTTTGATATGTATCATCAATCTTGGAATAGTATTACAGAAAATAGTTCAAGATATAACATATATAAAGTGTTTAAAGACTAAATCGAACCTGAGAAGTACCTCACCCTTTCAACATACAGGAAACAACGTAATATGTTGATAATATTGAGACCGGGGTTGTTAAAAAAGGAACATTGAAGAAGGGAGATGGTTGGGGATTGATTTTAGCATACATGTTTGCCCTCTTAAGATAGTGGGGCGATCGGGTAGCCCAGTCACGCCGAAGACCCTGGTTCGATTCCCGACATGGGTACAATGTGTGAAGCCCATTTCTGGTGTCCCCGTCACGATATTGCTGGAATATTGCTAAAAGCAGCGTAAAACCATACTCATTCACTCTTAAGCCTATCAAGGAGGGAATATGGACATTATCTTAATATGTATTCCATACGAACATAAGACACCTCTATCTTTCTGCCTGAAGTTAATTGTTGTAATCCAAATGTGCACGTAAAAATCTATGTCAAAGTTATGAAATGAGACACAAGTACACAATGAAAGACGTTACTTATGAGTTCATGTACAATTGTAGGATATATATATATATGCGCTTTAACAGAGCTGGACCATTGGACTTCATACGAATAAAAGACATGACTTGCATTTTTTATCTGCGAGGTCACTCACCTCAGGCCACGAGGGCCACCACTGGGACGAATGCACATAGGAACATATTCACTGCTTTCAATGGTTCCTGTCACTCGTGACTCTCTTACACTGCCGCTCGATATCAGCTTATTATTTCTATTGATAGAAAAGTTTTTTCTCAAATGCGTTAATCATTTTGCAGGAACATCATGCGGGAGTGATCGGAATATACTTAATGACAGGATATTTAGTACAGAACACTGCACCAAGTGTGTTCCCCTCCTTGTTGATCTGTTTCTTTGTGAATTTATGAATCTGAATTTGTCCTTGGAATTATGCAAAAACACGGGAATTTGTCAAAGAAGTTTAACTTATTAATAATAAATCTCAGGTAGATCGATGATCTCATGGCCAATCCGGTTTCAAACACAAACAAAAATCCTTAATACAACCATGGAAGCACTTTCTTTATACTCACAGAAAGCATTTGGGAGTACATGATTTAATACCATGAAGATTTCAAAACAACCCTAAGGATTTGCTTGAATTTGTGCAAGCTCAGGAGAGAACTACCAGAGACCAGTAAAACTGCCTGTCTGTTCCCTGCTAGTATTTCGGGGCGTTGGGGTAGCCTAGTGGTTAAAGCGTTTGCTCGTCACGCCGAAGACTCGGGTTCGATTCCCGACATGGGCACATTGTGTGAAGCCTATTTCTGGTGTCCCCCGCCGTGATATTGCTGGAATATTTCTAAAAGCGGCGTAAAACCATACTCACTACTAGTGTTTAGATCACAGACACACAGATCAGCTAGGGGGGAAATACATGAGGATACATAACTCCAGCCTCAATAACGTGCATTAGATTCATCGACCCAGCAGTGTCAGAGAAAATCTATGTTTGTACCCCAGGTTCCATTTTTAAGAGACTTTAGGGTCTGGACCAATGCACAGTGGTCTGGAGAACATAAAATGTCGTCATAAACATTAAATTAAACATATTTTTAATTGTTTTCCATCACCTTTAATCAACTTGGAGAGGCTCTAGACAACAATTACTAGTATCTTAGAAAGCTACAAGTGTTTCACTGGTCTTCTGCTTGGTTGGGTACCAGTGCACAGTCTCTCTGAAACCAGCTAAACCTTATCAAAAAGTGGATTTTCTGGAATGCGTAACACTGTTCCAGATTAAAGCTAGCGTTGAATTATCAGTAATCACACTCATGATACCTGACACTGTAACTCGTGCTACCTTCTTCTTTATAAAGACCCCTACACGTGCCACATCAGACAATCTTGCCCAGAAGGCCTCTCGTACCACATCTAGCGTTGTACAGTGATGCTGAAACTCTTCATTTGTCTCGTCGTTGTAACGGCAGCTCTGGCTGTTATTGACGTGCGACTACGGCGACGATCGACGATATTTCTGCCGTACACCTACCAGAATGGTCCCAAATACAACCTCTTCGAAGTTTCTGTAGAACAGGTTTCATATGATTCTGACAACAAAATTCTCTACACAGTTGGTAAGTTTAATATTTAAAATTTAATTCAGGTAATTTTTAAATATGTGAAGTAAACAGTGAATTTGTAGTTGGTGTTTAAATTAAAATAAGTAACATAAATAGAGGATTTAATAAGACTGTATCAATGAGAAAATACAAAGTGAAATCATTTTAAAACTAGTTATTGTCCCTTTTCACGTCACTGTTTAGAGGTGAGGTTAAATAGGGGTTTGGGGGTTTAACGTTGCACTTGTTATAGCGACTTGCCACGTGTGTGTTGCGTACGTGCGTCCGTGCGTGCGTGCATGTGTATGTGTGTGTGTGTGCTTGCTTGCACAAGCCAATTTTATAGCGCTATCCCACAGAGATACCATGCCGCAGTATAACATGGACAGCCCGCTTAGACGCAGTATACTCCGAGCCGACCAGTCCTTGTTTTATCATCTTAAGGCAGGGTACTAACAAGTACCATCTTTTAACGTGTTTTGGAATGCCGCGTTGTTGTTCCTAGAATAGTCTGACAAGTGGTTTGAGGTTGATACATTAGGAATTATGTCACACCAAAACCTAAAAATACTGAGAGAAATATTAAGAAGACGTAATTATTGAACAGATTATAATAGCAAAATTATAATAGCAAAATATCTTACACAGTTGGTGAGCATTTATTCTATTTGATTGGCGATTTTTAAAACATATTTTAACATGTGAAGTTTTAAGTACAATTTTTTGTATAAAGCATTGCAATTGTTTTGTTTAGATCGATATGTTTAATAAACCGCTGAGTGGGTATTTAAATAAATATGTTTTAATAGTGAAGACCTTTTAAAATATATATAAATCGATATTCCGTGGATTGTTCATTTGTTCACATTTGGAACTTTGAACGTTCGTGTAGACACTCACATAGGTTAGTCTGATTACATAAGGACTTCTTTCCATGCTTAATATCTGCTTTACATCCCGTTCTGGTTCAAGATTTGTCAACATCATGTTCTGTCGACATGAAAATGGAATTAGTGAAAAAATAGAACTTCGTCACGTTATGGTCTTTAAGAAAAGAGAACTGCAAACCTTTTTTATATTTAACATGTCAAAAACTTGGCAGGTAGTATATAATACAATCAAAGTATATCATGTCATAGTATGTTTGACCCATGATATAATTAACGATGTTCAAATAAGACCTAGATATCTAAGTGTGTTTCAAGAATCTGGACTAAAATGTTTTCATCTTTTCAAACATGAGGGAAAAATGGCAAGTCATTGTCCTTGGTGGTACTTTCCTTATCTTATCTTTATCAGGTAAAACATTTTATTATACAAAGGTTATGATCTGAGTGGGATGGGAGTTCCATACTTGGTGACCCCTTAGTCTAGGAGTGATCAGAGAATAGCTTCTATGGCGCATAGTGAGTGAGTGGGTTGAGTGAGTGATTGAGAGGCGGACTGACTGACTGACTGACCGACTGACTGACTGACTGACTGACTGACTGACTGACTGACTGGCTGGCTGACTGACTCTCGCTGAGTAAGTGAGTGAGCCTTAACGCCGCTGGAAACAGGCCTTCAGTTATCAGAGAGTGAGTATGGTTTTACGCCGTTTTTACTAATATTCAAAACATACAACGGCGAGTATAAACCCCTATGTTCGTGCTACTACGCCCACGGGAGCAACTCTTAGTGTTAATCAAAGTGATAACGTCAATGACGTCGACGTCGAAAACGTCATACTGTACTTATTTCTTTGTTGCCAGGCGACACAGTCCTGCACGCTATCGACGTGTCTGACCCCAACAATATGAAGGTCGCGGCCTATCTGGAGTACCCGGGCATGGAGTTCACGGACGTGGAGTTCTGTGGGGGTCACATCTTCACGGCCATGGACAACAGAACTGACAGAGCCAATGGGAAGATGCTAGTCTTCTCGGGATACAACCCAACGACCAATCAGATGAAGGAAGTTCTACAAGTTCCTGGTAAGGGAAATCATTGGATGAAGGAGGAACACTCGATAATCGGGATGTTCAATTTTCATTTGTCATCCGAGACGGGAAGCAATTGTACAAATCTTCAAATAATATTGCTGGAATGTTACTTTTTCAGAGGTATAAAAATCACTCACTGGAAACTTAATGACACTTGTTACTTGTAGATTCCAAAATTGAAACAATATGTTAACCAAGAAATATGTACGTAAAAGAATTTATTGTTAAACCTACAAACAACTGACAAATGGTATACAATCAACATTTTTATTGGGTTTAGAAATCAATACAAATTACTGCACATCAATTACAATAGCAGTACACAATAGAGTTGTATGTAGTACAATATTCAATGGCAGTATATAATATGATGGCAGTGGCCAGTGTCATAAATTAAAAGCGGTGGTCATAGCAAAAATCAGTGATATATTCACCCAGCAGCGATAGTGGTCAAGCTCCCGAGAAAGACCTAGGCAGGTAATAAGGGGTGATGAGTGATCTTCACACGAAAGCTGATCTTGTTGTGTTCTCAGTAGATGAAAATGTGTGATGAAATGTGTGAGAGATAAGACAAGCAGCGCCCTTGGGACTTACATGTATATTGCCCAAAGACCTTCCAGAATATTCCCTGACGCTCCAAATCAGCCCATGCTGTTCCGGATCTAACACAAGAATCTAAATAAAGTAACTTCTTCACCACTGCTTACATGAAATACTACTACATTTCTGAAAACTAATCATTGTCCAAGTACAATGCAATGAGCGTCTACCGAATCTCAACAGAAACAATGCTTTTCAGTCACAATCAATGTCCAACAAAAATACACTGCTACATAACACACTTTGGACGCTGGATTGCTATTTGTGGACTATTACTGCTGACTAAAACCCATTTACCTCACTCATCCATACGTTCGATTGCCACTCACTCACTCGCTCGCTCTCATCATCTCTCTGTTCCCAGTGGGCGCCGTTCCGGACATGGTCAAGCCGACGAAGGACTGTTCCAAGGTTATAGTGGCGGTGGAGGGAGAGGCGTACGAGTATCCCCCAAACCACATCACTGACCCCCCGGGTCTCGTTGTTATCGTCAACTTCCCGTGGGGAGTCGGGAACAACATGATAATCTCCACACTGAATTTTGACCGATTTAACATCAGGTATTCCCCATCACCAACAATTTAAAACCTGAGCATTTTCTCGAATGATGCAAATTCATATGCGCCAGGGTCTACTTGCAGAGAGCGATCAAGCGCCAAAACTATTGTAAGTCTATGTTATGGTATAGGAGTTATAGTGTAGGCATTAGCGCTAAGATCGTTTTGTTCAAGTGGGCCCAGGTCATTAAGTGTACAATGTAGAGTGGCCAAAGTCAAGTTGTGTCCCTTTCTGTGTACGGATCCGATGGTCGAATCCAAAATGTGTTAGGTGTCTGCGTGTGCGTGTGTGTGAATGTTTCTCATATACCAGATCGTTGCTCATGTCATCAACCACTGGTCTGCCTGGCCCGTTAATAACGGTCGATTATACAAGAGCCGAACTATTGTTGTATGGTTACGTCATCCACACACTCATTCAGGCCAGAAAGGTAATCTAATCTTGGACCTTTCGGGGGCACGGGTGGCCCAGTCGTCTAAGGCGCCGCGATTCGCTGTGCAGAGTTGCGTCCCTTGGGCACGCCAGAAACCTATGACTGTGGGTTCGAATCCCGGTTGGCCCAAATTGTGATTCTTGGATCGCAGCACCATAACCGTACTCGTGGGTTATCCCGAAGTGTTAACTGTCTGAGACCTACATCACTTCGGGCTTTCCTCCTACATTAAGCTGACACGCCCGATATAACTGTAATACTGTTAAAAGCGGCGTTAAACCAAACTTACTCACTCACTCACTTGGACCTTTAAGTGCAGCCTGCAACATTGAGATTCACAGACTGGACGACATATATCTTGATTCACAGAGTGCCATTCATGGAAGCGTCCGGAGTCCGTCACGTGTACCGGGAGAACAACAACCCCTTCTCCAACGACGTGGAACCTGAATACATCGCCATCAACGCTGACGACACCACGGCATTCATAATGTTGCAGGTCAGGCGTTACTCACAGTAGAGAGTCGTAATCACTGTCTGTCCGTATGGTAAAATGAATCGATGTGCTGCAATCGGGTTGGTAAACGATGTAAAATATGGATTGGATCTCTTAATCATATAGATTGGTATCAATACTTTTAGTAATATTTATTTTTTCAGAAACCAAAATTTTGAAAGACATGCTATTTGGGGGTCTGGTGGTTAATCGTGATGAAATATGATGATGGTATTTATCAAGCCAAAATGAATATTCATAATAATAAAGTTCTAATATAGTAATAAAACTTTGTTTTTCTGACACGTTTTTCGTGAGATTTTTCAAGATGGCGGTTGGGACAGGGGCAGGGGGTGTTGTGTCTGGTTTAACGTAAATTCAAGGTATAAAACAATGATTCTGAAATTTTATTCTGTATTTATTGCACGGCGGTAGGCGCCGTGATTTGTTTGTTTTTGGTTTGAGAAAGTTACATTTGGATGAGTAAGAGTTGGAAATGTAAACACCCATTTTTAAAGAAGCTTTATCTTTGTCTCACATATGTATAATGATATGCGTACATACGAAACACAAAAATAATTATGAAAATAATTTTTTTAAACATTTCTAACTGTAAATTGTTGTAAACATGTTTTTGGCACAATCATAAGGGGAAACACACTCTGTCCTAGACTGGTTCACGTGCCATAGAGCGCTTGCGCTTCTCACCTGCAGCTGCTAGGTGGCGAAGGGCAGGGTACTAGTCTAGTTCTATCCGACCTATTTCCTTATACGTCATTTCGCCGCGGTGAAACTTTGACCAATTTCCGTTCAGCGAGGTCTGCCTGTCGAGAGGCTGGGAACTGGCATACAGTATATCGCTATACGGAAACGTTGACCCACTTTCCGTGTCGCGAGATATTAGCACCTTTGGACAGCGTGAATAATTGAATTCAGAATGTCAGAATTCACGAGTAAACATATTAGCGTTAGGGAGCCATTGAGAAGTATGGTTCATGTTGGTGTGGGTTTTTTAAAATACCGCTCGCACAACATTGTGGGTTTCAAATTTAACTATATCTGCATATCCCCATTGATCTACTTCATTATAAAATAATTTTACAACAATGTAGCTGTAACTTTGAAACGATTCATTATAAAAAAATATTTACAACTTTACCGCTGTACATATATCAATGTCAACAGTATCGTGTATACCACTATGATTGTGTCAACCTAATACCCCCTGTTCATTGAAAACAATAACAAATGTTTCAGAACGTCATTGTTTTTGAAAACATTTTGCTGGTTTTGTTTCCATAATATGTTTGTTTTCTACTTTTTTTATTACATAAATATTGAAACTGAAATGTGCCATATTCTCATTCCTGATTCTGGCACCACATGCAAATTACAATTTGTTTTATCTTCTGCGTTACACATGAGCGTTTTATGAAAGCATAGGTAATTGCATCAGTAGGTAGGTATGCTGCAACATTTATTTGCGCCGTGTTGATTCTCTGGATCAAATTTAACTTGTATTTTCTTCTTAACATGTAAATATTGTTGACAGGAGAACAATGCTGTGGCGACTGTGGACCTCGAGACTCAGACTATTTCGGAGGTGTACGGGCTGGGCTATAAGAACTGGAGCTCATTAAAACTGGACCCGAGTGATAGGGATGGCGGTAAGCATTTGTTATGCATTTATAACATAGCTGATCAAATAGTATGCAGGGATTTTTACGATAACAAAATACACTCGCAGTACAGATAGTTGCATTAACACCTCTGTCACTGATAGTGATACCATAAGACACTGGTGCTGCTGTGATGACATTAAGGCCCACACACTCCCTCCTACATTGATGTTACTAGCAATGACATTAGACCCCCACACACTCCTTCCGCAATTGATGTTGCTAGCAATGACATCAACCCGCATACACTCCTTCCGCAATTGATGTTGCTAGCAATGACATCAACCCCCATACTCTCCTTCCGCAATTGATGTTGCTAGCAATGACATCAACCCGCATACACTCCTTCCGCCATTGATGTTGCTAGCAATGACATCAACCCCCACACACTCCTTCCGCCATTGATGTTGCTAGTAATGACATTAGACCCCACTCACTCCTTCCGCAATTGATGTTGCTAGCAATGACATTAGACCCCACACACTCCTTCCGCCATTGATGTCTCTAGCAATGACATTAGACCCCACACACTCCTTCCGCCATTGATGTTTCTAGCAATGACATTAGACCCCACACACTCCTTCAGCCATTGATGTTTCTAGCAATGACATTAGTACCCACACACTCCTTCCGCCATTGATGTTGCTGCGATTACATCAACCCCACACACTCCTTCCTACACTGATGTTGCTGTGATGACCTCAACCCCCACCCACTCCCTCCTACACTGATGTTGTTTGATGACATCAACCCCTACACACTCCCTCCTACACTGTTGCTGCTTCATCCTGCTACAGGGGCCAACCTGAACGGCTACAACGTCTACGGCATGTACCAGCCGGACACCTTCGTGCACTTCCAGTTCCAAGGCGGCAACTATCTTGTGTTGGCCAATGAGGGAGACTCAAAGGAGTACGAATATGGAACCTCTTATTGGACAGAGGAGTCACGTGGTTCCACGATACCACCACATGGTATGTTTCAATGCATGGTGAATGCGTGGTGACTGAATATATTAACGACCTATACGATCATACCGAAATATGGGAAATATCGATATAAACTATACGAGTGAGTGATTTTAACGCCAATTCGAACAGTATTTCGGTTATATGTATGATACAGATCTTAAAAGTTTACCATAATTTATGGATCAACGAGCACGGGTATGGTGTTGACAAACCTAGATACATAATCAAGGCAAACCAGGATTCGAACCTTCGATCATAGGCTTCTGCTACGCCTAAGGGACGCAACTCTGCATAGCGAATTGCGGTGCCTCAGACGACTCGGCTCTCTGTACCCCAATCTGAATAATGCATAATTCTGTCCGCAAATTATATGGCTTAATTTTTAAATCGATTTATATAATACCGTATAACGCCATGAGCAACATAAAAGGATAGTATTTTGTTAAATTTGAGATTGAATGGAAAACTGTAACGAATAGATCGCCTGGGATGTAAGCTGCTGCTTATTGTACAGGCATGTCTGTGATACAACCAGTGTATACTTAACTACGGTTATAACGAACATGCTTATAACGAACTGACTGATATAACGAACTTATTTTTTAGTCCCGGTCATTTGTTGTATATATGCTGTTTATATGCTTATAACGAACTACGGTTATAACGAACTAAAATAAGTGGTCCCTTTGAGTTCGTTATAACCGTAGTTTACTGTATTTAATATCTCTGTTAAAGATGTCTGGCGGCATATCGACTACACTACACAAGCTCAACTGACGAACGACACTTTGCTTGGTGAGTGAAGGTTAAACACAGTGTCTTTTGTTCGTGATAGGGTTGAAATACTGTTAGACATTAGGTTGTTTAGTATGATATATAACAACAAACAGGGAAAGTACACATGACATAAGTAAGGATAAGAATGTATGGATGAACAACTTCTTTATTACAATTAAGAGCGACGTTTCGGTGTAGGTTCTAACACCGTTATCAAGCAAGTGATGTTTCGGTGTAGGTTCTAACACCGTTATCAAGCAAGTGATATACAGAGTGTGGTTGACAAGTATATATACAGGTAGGAGGCTATGTTTATACAGTAGAGTAGATATCAGATGTAGTTATACTGGAGTAGAGAAGCCTGTTATGTGCACACAAGGGTAGTAATGACAATCATCGGTGAAGTCAGTGACATAAACAAAGGATGAAGCCAACATGATTATGGCTGATTGGGGTCTTTGATGAGTTGATGGTACGCCGGGGGTATGTAATAGCCTTGGTCACGATTTAATTGTAATAAAGAAGTTGTTCATTCATACATTCTTATCATTATTTAGTACTCCAACTTCTAAATGCCTATCAAAGAAGTTAAAGATGACATGTTATGCCATGCCATTCTACAATTATATATACACATGTATTTATTGAAATAGCACTCGTTCTACACTGAGAAGCTAAAGAAACTCTACCTCTCACTTGATTGTATCTAACGTTTGATTTCCAATTGAAAATATCTTAAGTTAACGAGATTATATAAAAAAAATAACTGTAATGGCGCTAAGACACCATACTTATTTAAAACTGTAAAAAACATTCGCATAATTCAGAGCTGCTGATGAGTATCTTTGACATCTTATCTTTGAAAATTAACAAATTTGCCTTTTTCGGCCCAAATTTACAACATTTCAAACATTGTTGGGGGTGCAAATTCATTTCTGATGCGACTTCATTGAACCAATTAATTTTTAAACAGAATTACCCATTCCTGCTAACTGTTGCAGGAATGATCGATGTTTAAACAGACATAATCAAAATTTAACAATTCTTTCAATTTTGTATTAATGAAAAAAAAACTTTGTGTATTTTTTCCCCGCAGTTTAAATAAGATATATCTAACTGAACCCGGGTCTTCGGGATAACGAACCCTTTAACCCTTAGACTAAACCCCATCGCCCACAGAACAAGTGGACCGCCTCCGTGGTCTAATGGTAGAGCGTCCGCCCGGAGAGCGGAAGGTCCGAGGTTCGATCCCCAGCCGCGTCATACCAAAAGATGGTACTTGTTGTTACCCTGTCTGGCGCTCGGCATTAAGGGGCAAAAACAAGGACTGGTCGGCTCGTAGTCTGTATATTGTGTCTGAGTGGGGTATTCATGTTAAACTGCGGCATGGTATCTCAGTGAGCTAGCACTATAAATTGGCATCAGTACAAGCAGCCACACACATACACGTGCATGCACGTCGCTATATAAGTGAAAGAATCTTGGACGCGACGTTAAACCCCATTTCACCTCACCTCACAGAACGAGTGAGGATCATCTTTACAGACGCATGTGGTATATTGCACAGGACGCCTCAAATTTGCTGTATCGCCAGCGGAGAAAGACAGGCAGGGGTTCTTAAAGGAGATGTATGTCTTTGGAGGAAGAGGCTGGTCTATCAGAAGAGCGGAAGACATGTCTCTCGTCTACGACAGCGGCAACGACATCGCAGAAAGAACTATTCAAGCAGAACATGATCTCTTTAACAGCTATATCGTTAATGAAATTCAAAGACCGATCGATGATTTCGACACAAGATCTGATGACAAGGTAGGTTATTACATTCTACAACCAACCAACTGATGACTTTTCATAATTTGTGACGATGTCGCGACGAAATCAGTATTTTGTATGTATATGTTCTTGCTTTCAAACTGTCCGTAAGCTATCTACTCAGAAGCGTTAGAGTGAGTGAGTATAGTGTTATGCCGCTTTTCGCAATTTTCCAGCAATATTAAAGCGGGGGACACCGGAAATAGGCCTCACATCTTGAACCAATCGGCTCCGTGGTCTAGTGGTAGAGCGTCCGCCCGGAGAGCGGAAGGTCCGAGGTTCGAGGTTCGAGGCCGCGTCATACCAAAAGACGTTAAAAGATTGTACTTCTTGTTACCCTGTCTGGCGCTCGGCATTAAGGGGCTAAAACAAGGACTGGTCGGCTCGGAGTCAGTATACTGTGTCTGAGTGGGGTATTCATGTTAAACTGCGGCATGGTATCTCAGTGAGCTAGCACTATTAATCAGCATTAGTCCGGACTATTTACAAGCACACACACACACACACACACACACACACGCACACGCACACGCACACGCATACGCACACGCACACGTGCATGCACGACGCTATATAAGTGCAGTAGTCTTAAAACCCATCTCACCCCACCTCACCTCACCTGAACCCATGTGGGTAATCGAACCCGGGTCTTCAGCGTCACGTGGCAAGGGTGACGTAGCGCAATGGCCGCAATTTGCTGTCCACAGTTTCATTCCAGGATCCGCTGCTCGTGGGTTCGAATCCCGGATGTGCCTGATTATGAGCCTTGGTTTGTCAAAATGTCAAAGACCTGCAACGTGTGGCCCCCACATCACGCTGACAGGCCGTGATATATCTGAAATACTGTTCAAACCCGTGTAAAACATACATAAGCATTACATTGTGTGACCCAGGGCCCGGAGACGGAGTCGGTAGCAGTGGGGGAGGTGGATGGTTACACACTCTTCTTCGTGGCCAACGAGAGACCGGGCACCATCTTCACGTACTCCGTCAAGGATGACCTGAGTCACCCCAAGTTCCAACACATCTATACCGGCATCCCCGAGACCCGAGGAAGAACTTGGCGGCAGATGTATGATGACCGCGACCTCACGGAGATCGACTGCGAGGATATGAAGTAAGTTCACAACCTGTTAGGATCTCAGGTCAGAAAAGGCTCCGTCACCCCATGCCGACTTAAATGAGAATCTGGTGGTGATAATCTGCGCCGTGGCTGATTGTGTGTCATATTGCCCAGGCTGCGAGGAGGCCCGTGAAGAACCGGGGTAGAATAGGTCTTCAGCAACCCATGCTTGCCGTAAAAGACGACTATGCTTGTCGTAAGGGGCGACAAACGGGATCGGGTGGTCAGGCTCACTTAACTTGGTTGATGCATGTCATCGATCCCAGTTGGGCGGATCGATGCTCATGTTGTCAATCACTGGATTGTCTGGTCCAGACTCGATTCCTTACATACCGCCGTCATATAGCTGGAATATTGTGGAGTGCGGCGTTAAACAACAAACAAACAGACTGCGAGGAGTTATGCTCATGGTATCAACCATTGGTCTGCTTGACCCAGACTCGAACGTTTACAGATCGTTGAAATATGGCTTGATTTTTATGGCTTAAAATAACATTTTAATGGACGTATAATAATGATGGATGGATGTGGAGTAGGCTTAGCCGATCAGCTGTATGATGAAGACGACGTACGCCCTTAAATTGACCCTATGTTGGTAATCGTCTCGGCTTGAAACATAAAGCATAAAAAAATATATTCTCACACTATTTCTAAATATCTTTTTCAAAAAGACTGTTGAAATGGTGTCCTACCAGCTATGAGGAATAATGTCTTCAATTCCTGGTAACTCGTAGGTTATTCTATGATGTATTACCCATAGGGCATGGGTATAGCGGGGGAAATATTTTCGATAAGTCTCACTGAGAAATGTTACTTTTGCTTCACGCAAATTGACATTCACGGTAATTGTGTTCCATTGTGTTCCATTGTATTCCACTGCGTTGCATTGTATTCCATTGTGTTCCCTTGTATTCCATTGTATTCCATTGTGTTCCCTTGTTTCCCATTGTGTTCCATTGTGTTCCTTTGTATTCCATTGTGTTCTATTGTATTCAATGGGTTCAATTATATTACATAGTGTTCCATTGTATTCCATTGTGTTCCATTGTTTCCCATCGTGTTCCATTGTACGGGCGTTTACGGAGCAGCCCTCGGCCATGTAACATCTAATTTGTGCTTTGCGGAGAATAATGATGAGTGGCCAAGGGGTTGAGGTGGACGCCCATATAAACGTGTTCGATTCCACAATACTGGAATGCCAGCGTCGTTGTTTATCAGGTGTATCATATCGTCATTATATTATGATATTTTTACGTAGGACATATTCGCCACCATAGCTTCGTTTTGTAAGTGATGTCATCCTTCCATTGCTCCTATCGCTGAGTAATTAGAATCCCTATTGTGCCTTTCAAACAGGGCTCAAAACGAAAATATGATAGTGAATTATTCGATGGTATTTATCATATTAGAATGGAGATATGCTATTCTGGATAATCGAAGATGGACTGTTATAAATCCCCACTCACTCACTCACTAACTCACTCACTCACACATCCAAACTCCCTCCTTCATATTTTATTCTGTTTCCAGGTTTGTCTCAGCGTCAAAGAGTCCCACGGGAAACGCTATCCTATTCGTCGGCGGTTCCGTCTCCGGAACAGTGTCCATTTTGGATGTGGAAGTTTCCGGCTAAGTTACCTTAGGTTGTGCTGCGTCATAACATTATATTACCTATGTCCTATGAATGAGTGAGGTTTTTAACCTCGCCTTTAGTAATATTCCAGCAATATCACGATACGATCACCTCTTCCAGAGCACCCGGTGTCATCACCAGTTGATAGTTATTCACAAAGACACGCTCGTGATATAGTCGGAATCGTACAACCGACTCTGTTTTTGGCAGAGATTTATGCTGAATATGGAGAGGGTTCTCTCGCCTGTATTGACCCAATAATAATCTTTAATGGTGTACAAATATACAAAGATAGGTTTGATCTCTGCCCAACGTTCAAAAGATTTCCGTGGTTTAGTGATGTTTGAAATACTCACCTATTCGTCGGCTCACCTCACCTCACCCACACACTCACTTACTGACGTTGAGTCAGCGAGTTGTGTTTAACGCCGCTTTTGGCATTATTCCAGGTATATCACGGTTGACGTCAAGGTTGAGTCAGCGAGTTGTGTTTAACGCCGCTTTTAACATTATTCCAGTTATATCACTGTTGACGTCAAGGTTGAGTCAGCGAGTTGTGTTTAACGCCGCTTTTGGCATTATTCCAGTTATATCGCGATTGACGTTAAGGTTGAGTCAGTGAGTTGTGTTTAACGCCGCTTTTGGCATTATTCCAGTTCTATCACGGTTGACGTCAAGGTTAACGTTGAGTCAGTGAGTTGTGTTTAACGCCGCTTTTGACATTATTCCAGTTATATCACGGTTGACGTCAAGGTAACCATTGACTACCAGAATATCCTCCTATGACTGAGCGCTTGTTTTTGCAGTTCAACATCTGACCTGCACCTGTAGGGAATATTCCTTCGATATTCCTGTTTAACTGAACCGAGGGGAAATAGAAAGTATAAGTTTGTTTTCTTTGTAATTCAAAATTGAAAGAACTGTTGTCCTTTTAACCATCACTCATTCCTGCAAGTAATCGGTGGCTTGGTAATTATGTGTGAAAATACATGTATATGGGTTCAATGAAGAGTTGGGAAAGAGATGAATTTGCATCTACGTGGCCCCTACCATGTTGAAATGTTACAAATTTGTGCAGAAAAAAACAACACATTTATTTATTTTCAAAGATAATATGTCGAAGATGCCCATCAACAGTTGTGTATTATGCGATTACTTTTATTTTTAAGAGTTTTAAATCAAATTATATTTTTAAAAATAAAACCATGTACACGTATTCTTTAAATGCTGACTAATTGTTAGTACAGTTATTTTTTTTATTCAATGTCGCTAACTTTAGTATTTTCAATTGAAACTCAAACAAATGACAGGTATAGTTTCTTTTGTTTCTCAGTTAATACTTTGTTTGTTTGTTGTTTAACGCCGCACTCAGCAAAATGACGGCGGTCTGTAAATAATCCAGTGATTGACATCATGAGCATCGATCCACGCAATTGGGATACGATGACATGCATCAACCAAGTCAGCGAGCCTGACCACCCGATCCCGTAAGTCGCCTCTTAAGACAAGCACAGTCGCCTTTTACGGCAAGCATGGGTTGCCGAAGACATTTTCCAACCAGTATCTTCACGGGTCTTATATTTAGTAATTTGACTGATGCATTAAAACGGTGAAGCGGGTTTTTTAACCATGGATGTAGAATCTGCAGGCTCTCTCCTTTATGCCTCCTTCCATCCTTTATTTTAAACCCAAACGATTAATATGTAATATTTTAAGATATATGTACTCATGTGAATTACGAGCTAGTGTTTCGAACCTGTGTACTGTATGTGTGTAACGAATGTAGGATACACTGTCCCTTCACATGTATTCATGTTGACTTCAAGTCTGACCCATCACATGAAGGGACAGGTAGGGATTTTACGTGCGCATCCAAAGCTGTGTCGAAGAAATGAAATTTCTTTTTGTAAATTGTTATACATCTTGAAAGATGTCTGTGAATTGTAAATACGGGTCCTTCATTTGTACATAACAGAGGAGATTGTTTTATCTGTTTGTCATGTAATGTGTAAATACATTTGTAAATAAAGTATATTCCTCGTCTATCTACGTATACCCGATAATGGATGAAATACCATAATATACCGTGGGCATGTACAATATATAAAATGTATACACACGATTATATTTGTTTGTTTGTTTGCTGTTTAACGCCACAATCAGCAATAATCCCGCTATATGACGGCGGTCTGTAAATAATCGAGTCTGGACCAGACGATCCAGTGATTGACATCATGAGCATCGATCCACACAATTGGGATACGATGACATGCATCAAACAAGTCAGCGAGCCTGACCACCCGATCCCGCTTGTCGCCTCTTACGACAAGCATAGTCGCCTTTTACGGCAAGCATGGGTTGCTGAAGACCTATCCTACTGCAGTTCTTCACGGGCCAGACCCGATTTTATCGTGCACGTACATATACAAGATATGCACATACAATATATACCATTATACATGCACACGATGTACCATGTACAAATAAGCTGCTGAGCCAAAGAAAGTACACTCCCATGTTTGATGATGGCTAAAATTGAACAAATAAGAAATGTTGATTCAGTGGTGATGTATTTGGAACGGGTATCCTAGTCCTGTGTTGTACCTGCAGTGTTTCAGCCACTGTTTTCAGCCTAGTAACGTTTTGATAACATTTATATTCTTTGGAAGAATATACTTTCGTTTGACCGGCAGTTTATTCTACATATGCTCACGTAAAGTGAGTGAGTGAGTTTGATTTTACGCCTCTTTTAGCAATATTCCAGCAATATCACGGCGGGGGACACCAGAAATGGGCTTCACACATTGTACCCATGTCGGGAATCGAACCCGGGTCTTCGGCGTGACGAGCGAACGCTTTAACCACTAGGCTACCCGACCGCCCTGCTCACGTAGAAGATACATACTAGTATATCAGGTACATACACATATACATGTATATTTGCCAACATTCTTGATATACCATGTGCACATATACAAGATATATGATTGACACATGTACAAGATATTATGTGCCATGCATAAACGGTGTCATCCCAAACGGTCGAATGTCTTGTTAAGAATAAGAAAATACTGGTCGTCCACCGATCAGCACTGTGTACAGTGCATATTTGACGGGCAGTGCCTTGAGATGAACAATCTCTGAACAGAGGATTCCAATATTTTTCAAGCAAGAGTTTGAAGACAAATAAAGAAAATTTGAATGTCGGTTCTGTTTTATTTATGACAAGTAAATAGAATACATTTCATAATGACAACGTCTCCAAAGGATAGTGTTCACATGTAGAGATTATTCACACACGCCCAGTAGGTTTGCAATGTTTCTACATCTATCTTTCTTTAAATTAGTGTACTCTCTTTAAAAAGACATTCCCGAAAAAGATATTAAGCTATTAAATATGAAAATACTAATATGGCTGGCTTAAAAAGGTTGACAATATACTTGATCGCTGTTGTTTAAGTGAAGTGTTTTATGAGTGAGTGAGTTTGGTTTAACGCCGCTTTTAACAGTATTCCAGTTATATCACGGCGTGTCAGCTTAATGTGGGAGGAAAGCCCGAAGTGATTCAGGTATCGGACGTTTACCACTTCGGTGAAACCCACGAGCACGGGTATGATGCTGACAAACCTAGAAACATAATCGGGGCAAACCTTGATTCGAATCCACAATCATAGGTTTCTGGCGCGCCCAAGGGACGCAACTCTGCACAGCGAATCGCGGCGCCTTAGACGACTGGGCCACCCTAACCGTGTTCTATGACTCCCACGACTTCAACACACAATGGGGGCGCTGGGTAGCTCAGTGGGTAAAAAGTTCGCTCATCATGCCGAAGACCCTAGTTCGATTCCAGACATGGGTACAATGTGTGAAGCCCATTTTGGTGGCTCCCGTCGTGATTTTGCTGGAATATTGCTAAAAGCGGCGTAAAACCATACTCACTCACGCACTCACCACATCATGGCTTACGTCAACTATAGAACTAACATTGAAACATCACTTCTTCTGGTCATGGAATATTACTCTACGATCAAACTCTATGGGAAACGAATATTTGCCTTCCTTCGAAAAAAATATACTTCTCCTTAAAGTTATTTCCCACCCCCTACTTAAATTTAGAACACGAAATCACTCTACCTGTGGAGCCTAGCAGATGGCATGGTGTTTCCCGGAAGGATTGAACGTGCCATCTCTGCAATTCACAAAATATTGGAGACGAATTTTATTCTAAGTTTACATTTAACGCCCTCGATAATTAAAGAATAATTTATTTGGATACGTATGATTATTTATGGCCAGTTTTTTTTAGATATAAACAACTTTCATGTTCACAGAATTTAAAGTTACTGACTAAACGTATTCGACTGATATTTAATCAATTGCTAGTACATCAGTAGAACCCAAGCGGTTGCCATGCATGGCTGGCAACAACTATTCGACCGATTAGGAAGAAATGCACTCAGGCGTTTTTTGACCGATCAGTTCAAGTTTATTCTAGGAACTCGACCGATCAGGATGTAACTATTCATGCATACACTTGTCCTTTTACGTCCAATGGAAACTGTTTCGTCGAATAATCGAGACTAGTTTTCTCTGGCGTTGACGTCATATAGTTATGAAATAGCAACACAAATCCATCTCGAATATATATACGGCAATATCATAACTCACAAGAATAATGTTCAAAATAATATTAAGATTGCTGACTTTTTTTGCACATTTTAGAGAATTGTTTGCTGGTGAGCAAACATCAACTGTGCCGGACGACTTATTTTACAAGATGACTGTACCAATGATGATGTCACTAAATATATTACAAAAGATATTCTCAATATGCCTATAACAAAAGACGAATATTAAACAGCATCCATCATTTAAAACGTAACAAATCTCCAGGAATAGATGACACCATTTCTGAATTATTTATACATTCGGCTGATCTACTTGTCCCATACCAAGAATTGTTATTTAATGTGATGTTTGAAGAGGGATACTTCCCGGAAACATGGTCTATTGGTATTTTAATTCCGCTTCATAAAGCAGGTGCTTCTAATGATGTCAACAACTACAGAGGGATAACTCTCTTGTGTATCCTCAGTAAAATATTTACTTTATTATTAACAAGAGACTTGTGTCTTGGGCCAATACCATGGATAAAATTTCTGAATCGCAGGCTGGTTTTAGGGAAGGATATTCAACAGTTGATAATGTCTTTATATTTCAATCTCTAATACAGCGCTATATCACCAAAAAGGGGGAAGTTTTATGGATTATTTGTTGACTTCTCTAAAGAGTATGATTCTATACACACGTGTAAACTATGGAGATTACTTAGTTCCAAAATGATGAAGTTATTATGTAGTATATATGAAAATGTTGAAATGTGTGTACGAGGGCTGAATGTCTGATATGTTTGAATGCAAATTTGGCGTCCGCCAAGGATGTATATTGAGTCCTTTTTTATTTTCCTTTCTCATAAATGAATGAGTATCGGGAATCCATAACAATTGTACAAACGGCATTCAATTACATCCAGATGTCGTTCAACTCTTTCTTTTATTATTTGCAGCTGATGTTATCATGTTCTCAAGCACTGCTGGTGACTTGCAAAAGCAAATTTATGTCTTAGAAACTTACTGTGATAAATCGAAACTCACTGTTAATAGAGTCAAAACAAAAATTATTGTATTCAAAAATGGTTGCAAACTTGCCAAAAATGAAAAATGGTCCTTTAAAGTTGAAAGTTTGACTGTGACTACACACTATAAATATTTGGGTGTTTATTTCAGTAACAGTCTAAATTGGTCTATTCATGTAAGAGAAGCATCAGTTCAGGCCAAAAAGGTTTTATTTGGTATGTTAAAGAATATACATATCCTTGGTGATATAAGTTACAAGTCATTCCTTAAGATCTTTGATGTTAAAATTAACCCAGTTTAACTTTACGGTGCTGAAATATGGGGATTAAAACAATTTAATGATATCGAAAAGGTCCACTTATTTGCATGTAAAAAGAAATCTTGGTTTAAAACCCAACGCATCTAGCGCAGTGGTCTATGGATAATTTGGTAGATTTCCTCTATTTATAGTGAGTGAGTGAGTATGGTTTTACGCCGCTTTTAGCAATATTCCAACAATATCACGGCAGGGGACACCAGAAATGGGCTTCACACACTGTAATGTTTTCACTGTAATGACAGCGTAGAAGACGAGGTCCATGTTTTGTTTCACTGCGTATTATATGATGATATCAGGGCAACTCTTTTTAATGAATGTATTGCTAAATCTTATAATGTTTTAGATATACCTGATATCGACAAACTTTGTTTAATTTTCAGTGACTCCAGTGTGTGTTTTATACTTGCCAAAGTCTGCTTTTTAATTAATAATCGTAGAAAACATCTTTTATATGGATAACTGTTTA